CTTGAAGTGTAAACTTGTTTAATAAACCATATCTTTCATTTTCGATTTTTAATTCACGTAGTCCGGGAACTTTCCGGACAAACTGTGTATCTTTTTCCTTTTAATATAGATAAAAAAAGATAGACTGTGAACTAGTGCAGCCAAAGTATGGAAAAAGAACAGACCTATATAGTATGTCTGCACTCTTCCACGAGCCGAACAGCCGAGCGCACACGGACGGCAGTTCTCGCTTGTGTGCGTGCCCCCACCGCTTCGATGCCATAGACGTATAATATATAGACTGCGCGTTCCCTACATTTGTCATGTTAAGAAAATGTCTTCAACGTTGAGAGAGAGACAGCTGGTGTTGAATAATAGCCTTATCTTTGTCTAGCAAAGTAGTGGGGGAAAAAGAAGTCTTCGCTGATACATTGATAGACAGAGAAAGAGATACTATTCAAAGTATGTTGTCTCTCTCAACGTTGAAGACATCTTTTCAGCCAAACGCGCAGTCTATATATTATACGTCTATGTTCAATGCTCCCGGCTCGATCTTGCAACTCTGGCTTTCTCTGCACGAGGTCTCTACGATCGACGTGAAATTGATTATCGCATCTCTCACATCAGCGCCGCAAATAATTTTAAAACTTTTCTAATTCGTAAAATATTAATATTGCGCTCTAGGGTGCGCGTTGGATGTTTACGTACAAAAGAGATTTTTTCATGTTTGATATAAATTGTTCTAATGTATTATTCTTTTAATGAGAAACATCGAGTTTGAGCGTCACTGCAACTCCAAGTTGTGCGCGTAATCCAATAGCCAATAGCGAGCAAGTATTCTAAAGCTCGTTCCACATTGATCGCAAGCGCAAACGCAAGGTATAGATCTCGTAGAATTGACCAATCACGCTGGTCAATTGGCTGATTTGATCAATACGATTAGTCAATTCTACCAGACCTGATCCTTGCGTTTGCGCTTGCGATCAATGTAGAACAGGCTTAATAACGAGTTGTTACTTGTTGCACATTCGCACGAGATTGACTGATTACTTTCGTTATCGTTTCGTGTCTGTTAGGCCTGGTTTATGCGGACAAATAAGGCCGTGTTTTGGCCTTGTTTATGCGGGTAATAACTGTTAATTTATGCCGGAATGGTACAGTTCAACTAGGGAACTACTATAGGATTTCAATGCTTCTGTTATATTCTGTTATGCTTCTGTTAATAAACAGAAATATTAAAATCTTAGGCCCGCATAAACCAGGCCTTATTGTTCGAGGTCGTTGCCGAGGATTATTTGTTCGTCTTCAGTGGCGACGCGAACGGAACGAACGCGAGACAGACGGACGGACAGATGTGATTGGGAGAAAAAGCGCGAATCGTTGGAGTGCGTGGAACGTGATGACGCGCCCCTTGACGTAGGCCATTTTGCTCGGAGTCGGGACTGATGAAAGGGCCTGTTTCTTCAGGGGCAGATGCGCGCTCGCTTTCTCGTTCAGGTACGTGTTTATATAGGTCTTGCGTCCTGAGACCTTGGGTCTTCGATTTTTCCTACTGTTTGTCGTACGGGTGGTTAAGGATAACATCGAGTTTGACCGCACCAGATTTCTACGTTTTGAACCAGAAGCAACAAGTACAGGCAGTCGAAATCACGAGAACTCCGTTAGCGCGTGCTAACGAGAATTTCATGCCCTTCTCGTTTATTTTGACAATCGAATAACAAACATCACTTGCAGTCAAAATCGCGCCACTACGCACATGACAGAAGCGATGGAGAAGATAGGTAAGTGTGCCAATTGGAGATTGGTAATTTTTCTTGTACAACATATGACAACATTTATTGTATTTTTGTAAAGTTGATTTAATTTATTTATTATTGTAAAGTTGATTTTATTTAGCTGATGCATGTATATTTACTACAGATATATATACACATGTGAATGTTTTCTGTACAATTCATATACGCATATAATTTTTCTTTTTTGTGAATAAATAAATATAAAATATTGCAGAGATTGTGAAAATAGAAGAATGTACTGACAAAACTGTACTTATTGACAACACTACAGAAATCTTATTTGGTAATTATTGTTTACAAGTTACATGTTACATAATGTACATTGTGTGTGATAATTGTAAGGATATAAATATTTTAACTTTGCAGATACTAACAGTTCACAAGGTGAACCCGTGATTATAGATGATGGGACAGATACAAATACTAATAATGGTAAATATAGTTGTGTATGTTTATATATAATATATATATATATTTCTCAGAAGGAGTTATTTGATTCTATAATTTTTTGTGAAGATTTTGTTTACTTAAGTAGTTGTAAACAAAAAATAAATTTAAATCATTTTAAAACAGCACATAAATACTTTGACATTTTTGTTATCCTATTTGTACTATTGTTTATTTTGTTTTGTGTTTAGTTATTTCAGTTTTAGCCATTGATTATGAATGTGTGACATGTCATCGTGTCTTCCAATCTGAGGATGTAAGTCATATTGTTTTTTTTTTTTAATTCTTGTGATTTATTCATTTGTCAATTTGTGATTTGTTCATTTGTTGGTACTTGTTCTGTAACAAGGATTTCTTTACTGTCTTTTTTTTTTTGAGGTAGATGCTGAAGGAGCATTTGGACATGTGCAGAGAGGAAGATGATTCAACCAACATTATAGAATTGACTACCATGGCAACTTATGATTCCGAAGATGATGAGGATGATCCTGAAGCTGAGCCAGATTTAGATACTGATGGTAAGATATAACAGTTTATCAAATAGCAGCGTTCGGTTTCTCATACATTGCAAAATGATGTTAATCTATTTGTGCCATTAGATTCAGAATCTAAGAATCAGAAGAACAATAATGAGAGACCTGTAATCAAGCCTGTATCCGAAACGCAGTGCCATTGCTGCGCGGAAGACTTGAAGACTGCACACAGCGGCGGAGAGTTCATATGCTCCCAATGCGATCTCAGTTTCAAGAAGAAAGCGTCTTTGGACAGACACGTTATTGTTATACACTGGACGTGCGATTCGTGTAAATGCGACGAATGCGGATCTACTTTTCGCGATAAGAAAACATTAAACAAACATCGTTATACAACACATGGAGATCGCAAAATTTTTAGGTAGATATATTTGCATACACACACACACGCGATATCTTGTTTATGTAGCATAATCTTAATCTCGAATCTTTATTTTTGTACGATTGTAGATGCGCGCCTTGCGACACTTATTTTTCCCGGAGTTATCACTTGAATCGGCATATAATGCAGTCTGGTTGTCACGGAACTATACTTAATATGTATAATTGTCAAGTGAGTTCAGTTTTCTGCTAAGAATATTTCATGATACACGAAATTCTAATCTCGGAGTAATGTGAACGAGCGATTGTTGTTGTAGGTCTGCAATAAAGCTTTCACCCGCAAAGACAATTTGCGCGAACATTTGCGCACTCATGCGGGAACACCCCAGAGGCAAAAGAAAGCCTGTAAATACTGTCCGAAAGAGTTTTACACCAATCAACAGCTGATAGTGCACGAGCGCATGCACACGGGAGAACGACCGGTCCAATGCGATTTGTGCCCGAAGACATTCCTCTCAACGCTCGCAATGAGAAAACATCGTCGTGTACACACGGGGGAGAAGCCGTTTGAATGTAGATTTGTACGTAGATTTATATTTCACAAATTTTTTTTTTAATGATACTTCCGGAACGTTTTAATATTATATTTTTCTTGAATGATAAGCGGTAAGTGTGAAAAAAAAAATAATTTTGCTGCGTTATTGTATTATTACAAGCTATCACGGCGGAAGGAAATCCTTATGCGACTGTAAGTTTTTGTTCTTGCGTGAATAACGCAAAATATATAATATTTTAAACTTCGTAGAGAAAAATCGCGATATCAACGATATAAACGATATCGTTATGAGAATTATTTTCAATAATTTATTCTTCACATTTTTTTTAGTGTCAGAAAAAATTCGGCGCTCGGGAAACACTGAATCGTCATCATCGGACTCACACGGGCGAGAAACCGCATGTGTGCAAGTATTGCGGCAAATCGTTTATACAGCCGGCTCAATTAAGAGCGCATGTGTTTCATCACACCGGTGAAAACGGTTACACTTGCGACGTGTGCGGCAAGGTGTTCAATCGCAAGGGACGTTTGAGCATTCACAAGAAATTCGTGCACGAAGGTGCGATACCATTTTCGTGCGAGATCTGCGAAAAGGGTTTCACACGAAAGGAAGATTTGGTGAAACACGCGGTGTTACACACCGGAGTCAAACGTAAGAAATTGGACACAATACATTGTGAAGAAAAACAATTTTATAGAAACAAAACTATTCAAAAAGGAGAATAATAGATTTACTGCCGCTTGTTGTTTCCAATTACTTGATTTTTTTTTTTTTTTTTTAGCTTTTTTCTCAGTAATTTTTATTTTACACGCACATAATTGTGTATAGTTATTAACATTTTATTACATCTGAATTGCTGTGGTATGAATTTCTTTTACGATTACTTTTTGCAGCATTTAAATGCGACAAGTGTCCGAAAGCCTTCTCGGCGAAGTCATCTCTACAAGCTCACCTCAACACTCATAGACGTGAGCCACCTCAGTCGTGCGTTGAATGCAACAGAGTATTTATTCGGCAGGATTGCCTGATGCGACATATTCGGGCAAAGCATCGGGAATTGCTGGAAGACGTGATGAACGAGGTCGAGACGAAGCACTTGCAGGCGCAATTGTACAATATCGCGGCGATTGCCGCAGCCAAAACAAAAACCGGAGAATCCAGAACTCTTTCAACCGATGAATTATTGAAGGCTATTATGGATCTTTTGAAGGTGCTAATTGACGAGGAAACTTTACAAGTATGTACTACTAATGAACGTTATTTAATTCGATTTATTGTGTTTAAATAAATTGTTCATTTATTATTGATTTTATTGTGATATCAACAGTTGTTTGGCTGGCCAGACGCGCCGATACAGGATGTTCTCGAAGCCGTGATCAGAAGATGCGGATGTGATCCGGTAACGTTGGAATCCTGTGTTTTGTTCACCGATAGACTCCGGCAGAACATCAAGATTTTGTTTAACGTCGTCATTGAAGACGACAGTGTAAAATCTCTTTTGACAACATCAACAGTGGACGATGTTATTTTACACGTTCTAGAAATATCTAATCGATCATCGAATTAGATACAAAAATATGTTATTAATGATGTCGTAAAGATGTCGTAAGATTATGAAATATTTGTACAATTTATTGCAGTGTATAATTGAACGTTGTTAAGAATTTAGTACTTGGTTCTTCTCTTTCAGGTTTAAACGCGGTGACACCTATGTTTATGTATATTTAGCAAGTTTTATTCTTGACACATTGTTACTATCGTTATTATGTGTAGTGGTTATTAAGTTCGGTATTTACATATATATATATATATATATCATTTATTTTTTTATTGCAAACAAAAGAAGAGAAAGTATTAAATTTTAGATATTTGGTAATGATATATATATATGTATATCATTTATTATTATAATATATCATTTATTATTATAATATATTATTATAATATATATACATATATATCAATATTTC